GGGCCAACAAAAACCTCTGAAAGTACATATACATTCCGAACCTTAAGGGTTTGTTGTGCTGCATGACTCTTCCTAGCGTCGTTGTTCCACAAAAAAAGGAAATGGAGCCACCAAACCAAAATGCGAGCCAGATTGCCAGAATACATATTAATATTACTATTTTCAGGGGAATGCCCGCGAATCGACGCGAACGGCGCGCCCCGCAGAAGTAAACAATGTAATAAGCGCGATTGATAGACTCTTGCAAACTTTACAACTTCCCGCTGGCACACTGCCGACAGAACAGATGACAATGTTTGTGAAAAATCCTTGTTATTATACCCAAATAAATTCTGCAAATCCTGCAGCATTCGTTTGGAACAATGTCGGTTTCTTTATAACGTGGTCTTCTTATTCCTGGACTCTTGTCTCCCATCGTTAACACATGCTTTAGCTTGACCCCGATTAACAAATCACTCTTTACCACCCAAGTGAAGATGGTTTGTTCATAACATAATTTCCCCACGTCTACCCCCACTTAAAAAAATAGCGGCTGATAAGCTCTTGTTTGCTAAGTTGCCATTGGTCACTCTTTTTATTAGCAATTTGACGCGTTTGGCAGCTGTCGTCTGCATGAAAGTGAGATTCGAGGCCAAGGTAACCAGAGGTTTTTCTCTCTCTCCTCGTCGCTTACGCGACTCGTTGTCGCCGCTTCGCGGCTTGCTGTTGATCTCTTTCGCGAAGAAAAATCAAGAAACACCTCTGGGACCAGGGTATTGAAAACAGTGAGCATGTTTAACTCGCTAACACAAGACGAGGTGTTTTGGCTGTATCTCTGGACTTTGCTGGCTTTATCTAGCTAGCATTTTCCCAGTGAAAACACAACCGCAGAGTTTAATGGATAATGTAATTTTGTCATGTTTTAATTATGGAAGTTTGGCCGCTGAACACAATATGCATTGAATACAAAAAATTATCGTTACAGAAGAATAAACAGACTACCATAAAGGGTGAGGAGTTTTGAGCTGTTCAGTAAGCTCGCTGTTCAAGTTTCAAATTAAAGAAGATGGCTTGACTTTCTGCGTTTAAGCCTGAGAAAGCACTCTTCGTGATCTAAACTATAACTATTTAACAAAAATTATAAGTCAAAACTAGCTTCACTTAGGTTTGTTTTGCAACTTAGTTGTTGTGGTTCTCCCTGTCAACATGCATGGTAATAATGTAAGTGGCCCTCCAGATTGAGGGGTTAGGCAATTCAGGTGTCTTGTCTTTCACCTGAAACCTGCCCAGCACGGTTGAACCCAGCAGGGACTGTGGTCCCAACTGGTATAGCCTCGAGGATCACGAAGGCAACCAAACCTTCCCTCCACTTAAAAGGCATAACGCTTGGGGAGGTGGAAACAAAGTACAGAATAGTCTAAACAAAGCACAATTCTACATTATTAAATTATTTAGCGTAATGGCTCGATTTAGCGCCCGGAGCGCTTATATACGAATGGTTTGTCAAATGAGGGCGCTTATTAGAGACAGGGCGTTTACCTCTTTTAGACTGCGAAACAAACCTCTAAAACCATAAAACAGGAGCAGGGCACCTTATAGGCAAGAATTAGCAAACGTGTACGATCATGGCTCGTTCTGAAAATCCCTTGATTTGGAGTTCGAAGCTTGTTTATAAAGGCGAATTTTCGTCTGCTATACGAGGTCATCATGGCCACAAAGCGACATGGTCTCCAACTAAAGGAGAGTCTCTGGCAGTAGGAAAGGGAAAGAAGCCAAACAAAACGTTGAATTCATAGTTGGGACTCATCTTCAAGCTTACAAAAGATATTTTCCCATGGAACTTTCCTTCCTGATATTCCTTTCCTTCCTTTCCTTCCTTATATTCCTTTATATTTAAATTATTTATTACCTTAGTATTTTAGTATTTAAGGATTTTAGTCTTTCAGTCGTTCCATAGGGCCATAAAGGTTGATTTCCACTGACGCGTTTTTTGGCTGCGCTCGTTAACGTACGTAAATTTTAATCACGTGCTAGATATAAAGTGTTGCGATAAAACGTGAAGTTAAGCGAGGTTCTATTTTTACGCTTACCTGCAACCTTTCGCACATTGCCTCTATTTTATTGCGAACGTAAATTTTACGCGCGCACGCACGTACAAATTACGCGAAAGTGGAAATCAATCCTAAGGGAGAATACAGTACAACTGTAATTATGCACCCTATTGAAATAAATCGTAAAGAGTAAATTTTAAGCTCGGTGAAACAAATGTAAAAATAAGTTAATCAGTTTAAAATTTACCATCTTTCATTCTTTTACCACACAGTACGACATCGACATTGCTGATCCTTGCAGTATGCAGGACGCGTGTCAGATATGAACCTAGTATATGGCCTAGCTCTCCATGAGTTCTCCGTAGCTCAAGTGGATAGAGTGTTTTCACATGACGTCACGGCGGCCATATTGGTATCCCAAAACAATGAAACGGCGGCCATGTTGGTGTCCCAAATCAATCCTCTGGGAGTTGAACTCTTTTCTTATACAAACGCTTTTTTTGTTCCAATAAATTTGCATAGATACTGGCCACGTGAGTGAAAACACTCTATAGAGCGCCCGCCCGGTGTTTGGGAGGTCTTAGGTTCGAATCCTGTTGGGGACTCAGATTTTTTATTTGTCCAAAGCTCGTGACATGCTGATTAATTCATTTTCATAGTATCCATAATATTTACAAACTCTTAACATATATAATCCGGAACTAGCCTTAGAATGAATGTTATGATCGAAATGCGTGTCGCAGTTGCATGGTAGCTTTGTAAATGTCACTCCTAATAACTTGAGTTCCCCTTTCCTCTCAATATCTTTCATGGGTTCCGGGATTGGTTTCTTAGTATTTCCTCTAACCACCATTTCCCACGTCTTTTTGAGGTTCAAGGTTATAAAATTCTCAATAGACCAGCGAAGGGTATTCTGCACCTCGACTAAAGATAAGTCCAGAGTATTAGATGTTATATATAGGGACACTCAAAGTGATGTCACCAGTATACTTCAAGAGAAGATTCTTGTTTGGATTTGCGGCTATGATGTCATTTACCATAACAAAAAACAAGTCAGGACCTAACACAGTTACTTGTGGGACTCCTCTATTGATGTCCACAAACTTTGTTGACACGTCATCAACTACAACCCTTTGCTTTCGATTACTCAAGAAGTTTATTATCCAGTTGGAATATACCTTAGCAAAGTCAGCTTCTGTGTCCAGCCATCCTAAATAGTGATGTTGACATTTAATGAGGGCCATAGTAGTATTGTGACTCTCCTTGTAGCCAAACTGATCAGATCTGATTTGTGGTTGTAGGTTAGGAGATAGTTCAGTTTACAGACAAGCCTTTCAAATATTCACATCATGATGTTAGTTAATGAGATAGGTCTCAGCTGATTGCATTCAGACAATGGTGACTCTTTTGGAATGGGTGAGACGTTCGCTAGTTTCCACAATGAAGGGACTACTTGATGTCTAAGAGAGCTGTTGAAAATCTTAATAATAACAGGGGCAAGATGGTGGGCGTAATCACGCCAGAGCCATTTTCGGAAATTCATCCGGCCATGGTGCTGTTCTCTTCCGATTAATCAAAAAAAATTCCTGACTGAATGTTCATCATTGTAGGTGCCTGGCATCCGTGAGGTATCTGCAGATCGCACTGGAGCTCTATACGCCTCGTCAGTATTAATAGATTGAAAGTATCCATTGATAACATCAGGACGAATCACTTTACTAACTCTTTCTATCTGTAATCCTGTTCGCGATGTCCCACCAGCCCTTAACGCGCCTAGAGTGTTCCTTGCTTTCATTATTGACAGCATTCACTTGATTCCAGCAAATGAGAAAATTAATCCTCTCCTGTCGCGTGATGTTTTTTGCCACACTGCAGGTGTGTGATCTCTTGTTCCTAGTATTGCAAAGATGTTTCACGAGCGGGAACATGAAGGGAGGGCCCCTGGACGACACCTTGACCCTGATGCGGGGAAAACTTTCATCAAACATAGTCCATAATCTATCATTCAACACCCTTACGCACTCTTCAGGTAATCCAAGCCAAGGATATCTGACCAGTCGCACAGCTCTAACTTCACTTCCACAGCAATTTTGTGAAGGTCGCGGATATCTCTAAAGCTAACAAATTTGACAACAAGGTGGTTAGATCTTACAAGTCCTTTGTGCACTGTTCCTTTTTTGCAAAGGAATGAGCCGTTCGTAAGAAGGACATCTAAGATGCGATCCCCCCTAGTAGGGGCCATAACCAATTGTTGCATGGCCTACCGCTGCATGAGTTCTTTGATATTCAAGTGATTAATGTAACCCGCAATTATGATCTTAGTGTTCGGATCGTCAGCAAGGGTCTGATGACATGTTTCTGACATATATTTAAGGACATCAACAGGGTCATAAACAGGATCAGGGGGATGAATGAATGATTTACAAAGTACTTTCCTTATATTATCTGCATCTTTTTCCTCCTCTAGCTGCTGTTTTTCTTCTGGGATAACTTTGATAATCGTTGCCTTTTAGCTTGAGGCTTCATGTTTGTGTTGTTGTGTTCATTCACGATAAAGAAAACTGGCAGTGTTTTTGCCGTCTCCTGTCACGCCACCTTCCACCATGATTTGGTCACGAGCTGTAATGTATCCCGAGCGGGGTACAATTGCTCAAATGTATCACGATCGGGATACATTTGATTTTAGTCAGGGCCATGTGACCAAGAATCAACCAATGGCAGTCCCTGTTTATTTGAGTGAAAGTCTAGGAATCTAACAATAGTCTGTTATTGTCTTTATTGAATAGCAACGCTTATTGGTATTGGGGCGCTTGGAATGAGGGTGCTTATGCAATAGAGGTGCTTATTAGAGTGGGAGCGCTTATTAACAAAAACCCATTCGAGGTGGAGGCGCTTATTGGAACGAAGTTAGTTCGCTGAAGTTTAGAATAATTGTTTTTTTTTTCTTAGAAGGACAGGTATTTTACATGAATGCAAACAACACTTATGATTCTTATGACGCAAAACATAATCATTTATGGTGTTTTGAACATGCATGGAGACCTGAAAAGTAAGCGCATTAAGAAAAAACAAGTTTAAGATAGCAGGTGGATTGTTTAACACTGTTAAAAAGAACCAACATTTAATTCTATCTGTCACATTTGAAATTCAGTAAAATTATGTTTGCCATAGATTTGTTTTAGTAACTTAAGAGACCATACTGAAAGATCACAAGAAGGACAATTAACACTGGTGTAGTACTTAGTCGCTGATGGAAATTAACCCTGCCCCCCCCCCCCCCTTTACCTCCTAGGTCAGTCAAGTGACGTAGAAGCCAATGAAGTACGCAAACTCTAAGACATTACTTACCTTTAATAAGCATTCGGGTTTTTTCACTAGCTCCTTTAGAAATAGAAGCACGCGGAGAAAAAGCACAGCTCGCTTATCAAAGTGCTCTGAAAGATGGAGCTGTTAATGTTTTCCGTGGTCGAGTATTGCTTATTGGGCAAGATCGAGCAGGAAAAACAAGTTTGAAGAAGTCTCTCATTGGTCTACCGTTTAATTCAAAAGAAAAAAGTACTGATGGAATTGAAGTGGATCCATCAAAATTTCAGTTGGGCGTTGATGAAGTCAGGAATTGGCAACCTATTGATGAGAGAAAACAAGGGTTGCTAGGATGCTTGAAAGATGTGGCACAGATGGTGGTGGAAAAAGATGAATGATACTTCAGTTAACCGTGATTGGGTTTAGGAGGAGGAAAGAGGTGATGCGATTCTTCAAAATGATTATAACAAGAATAGGAAACAGGTTGGTGCTGATGCAGAAGAGGAAGAAGTTACTCTTGTGAACCAGGTTTGTCTTTGTTGGTTTTAAAATGTGATGTTTGTTCGTGAATCCTTCGTTACGTCAATAATTTCCTAACAGTAATTGCCCCCGCAGGGATTTCTCCCAGAAGCCGAAATCGCGAGGAGGCACTCTAGTAACTCGCGCGTATATTAAGGAAAGTACTTACAGCTGAAACATACAGTCATACAGTCAATATAGAAAAAGTCTCGATTTGCTTGAACAGGGGCCGCGAGGAATCGGTAGGTAATGATGACGTTTCTATTGTTTGCGCCCGCAAGTACGAAATGGTTAGGATGACGTTAAGACAGAACATCCCTAAGGGACCGTTTTCGAGATTTTGTGACATTTATTGTGCAGTCATACTTCGACACTCTTTTACGTTACGTGTTATCAGTGACATTCTGTGGAGCAGTTGTTTCAGTGAAAGTTATGGACCAAAATTTTAACGACACTCGTTAAGCGCAGAAGAAGTTATAAGGTGCGTATAACTGTGTATATATAAACACTTGGAGAGTTTGCCAAACATGAGTTCCCAAATCTTTCATTGGAAACCTTGCCAGACACTCTTTCTCTCTCTTTGACCGGAATAAGACTAAGCCCCAAACAAGCAGGACGAGTGAACAACGGCTAGCTTCACACTAGCAGAACGATGGACGATTACAGAAATTCGCCGACAATCAAATTCTGTGCTGACTTATTCCCTGCTCACAGATGTCCTTCCGCTATAAAGTTTAAAATAAGACTAGAATGCGCGAGATTGAATTGATCAAACGTCCTTTTAATTTCTAAGGCTTCCTTTCCGGGAAATAAAATGAACTGAATGTAAAAAGTGAAAGAGAAATAGCGAAAAATTCAACTTCTAATGAAATCTTTTCTTATGGTTTAGAATATACTATTTTCGAAACTGAGAATGTTTTGATCAAAGCTGTATATATCGACCTGAAACTGTGCATGGAACCTTACGTTTCCTGTATTTATCTCACCTATTGTATGACATATGTGTGAAAATCTTCATTATGAATCGGTATATTTCAAAGAGCTACACAACGAGCAAGAATGCTATTGACCGACAATATACAGAGCGGGGGCAGCTGTAGTGTCAACTATTACTAGTTATTATGAATTGATTATTGCCTTCATAAGTTAGGTTTTAGTGAGAAACTCACCACGGCTTCCCTGCCTTTTACTACGATGTCATTATGGAAAATATGTAATAATTGCCAGATCGTGTTTTTTTTTTCAGTGCTGGTTAAAAATTTAGCATTTTTATACTTGTCTGATAAGTTCAGTTTCGAGTAAAGAATGATATTACTACCAACCATTTTGTTATATTTCCATGATTGTACCCATCTACACATAAGCTTAGCCTTTGGGTCATTAGTGCGTATGCAAACCAAACTGAGTATAGCCGTTTCTTTATTTATACTTTTAAGTGTTAATTAGTCTTTGAGTATAGCTTTCCTTCTAAGTTTTTTTTTGCCAATCACAATTTCCCTACGCTGTTTCCCTTTTTATGCGGAGCAAGGCCAAGGGGTTGGGGGACTCAATCAAACACCATATTTCTATATATTCTTAAATTTACTGTTCCTTGAAAAATGCAGGAGCATTTTAATGTTTTGGATACCTCATTCCTCCAATAATTGTACCTCAATGTTTGAACTTATAAAGAATATTCTGTTATCCATAACAACTTTAAATGGCTGAATAATCAAATCAGGGGGATGAAGAGGAATAATCCGGTTCATTATTCCAGCTGGAAAATTTACGTTATTCCATTATTAGTCGAGCTTGCTTTAGCAGAGCGAGACTCTAAAATGCAGTCGTTTCTTTTTCTTGTCGGTGGGACCTAGTTTGTAGGCCACGTTCCTAGCGAAGACCGTGGAAACTGGGGATAAGAATCGTGGCGACTTTCACTGTATGCAAATGAGTCTCCTGATGAGCATGCGGTATATTTTCGGCGATGACTGAAGTTTGGCACTGATGTAATTTTCCTCGAATGGAGGCCCTTGATTTTCGTGTAATTATGCACGACATGCAGGCACTGATTAAAAAGGAAATATCCCCAAGTAGGGTGAGAAAATATTATAGCGGGGAAATCCTATTTTGTGGTGTTTTAAGGCGTTACGTTTCTCAGAATATTGCCTCAATTACTTTCGGAAATCTACGGTAAAATAGATTCACTTTATTTTATGTATTTAATTGATAGATTTTCGCAGTTGTTAAGATGTGAAGTCGTGTTGCACTTTATAAATACTTGAGATATCAAGTATCTTTTACGTGCGTACGTGCGTAAAATTTGCGTTTGCAAATAAAATAGAGGCAATGTATGAAAGATCGCAGTTACAATTATGTAAACGTAAAAGGAGAAACTCGCTCAACAACGCAGTGCGCTTTGGTCCACCGCAAATTGTGCCTGTGAGGAAGTTTGGGATGAAGGTATCATTTTTTTTTTCAAGTTTTAGTCTCAAAATTGTCAAAATAAATCATATTGTGGTGCACTGCGCTGAAAAACTTTGTTATCTTCATATCTATAAATGTGCCACTCCACTGTAAAAAATATACATTTGGTTAGAGTGTAGCGTAGGTTAGCTCCAAAATAGTAACGTAGACCACACCCTAAAATTCTTCACATTCCACGAATGCCACGAAACTTACCAGATAAAAATATTTTTTTTCTTTTTATGCATAATGATTTATCACACCGTAAAATTTTAAGACAGTCTGACAAATCCTTCATCCAATTTTTTTATTCACAAACTTGAGGTAAAAGGTCCAAATTAGCCTCGGTACCACCTTAAATCTCAACACTCTATATCTTACCTCTATTTTATTTACGTGATTAAAATTTACGTGCGTTAACGTGCGGAGCCAAAAACGCGTCAGTGGAAATCCACCCTAATGTTGCGCACGTATCACGGATGTGTTTATACGGGTAGCTTTGAATTCAGACTATCGGCGCACTCTACTTGCAGCACTTCATGTCCATAGCCTGGAATAGAAATCCCATATCGACCTTTTCCGGGAGCGGGTTGGTCAAAGAATTCTATCGCTTGAAAGTGTTGATTATTTTGGAACAACTAATCACTTCAGTGGTCGAAAAAAAAAAAGAATAATCTTAATGAACAAAACTTCAAGGTTTACTGGAAAATCAGGATCGAGGATCGAGGAATCAGGGATCGAGGATCGGTTAAAAAGAACTTGAAATTAAAATAAATAAATAAATCGTGGATCAGTGGTGATGTGGGCCGCTGACTGTAGATACATTGCACAGAACATAACCCCGTTTGCTGTACTGAACACTAAATTCAAGTAAACTAATCCGAGTCTGTCTGAGTCAGCGATTGTTTTGACGGGAAAGTGAAATTTTCCTGGAAAATGAAACGCTTCATCCCAGAGAAACTGTAATAAAAGAAGTTTAATTGCACATTTGCTTTCAGTACTCCTTATTTTTCTTGTAATTGTTGCATGCACGACCCCACCAGCAATGCTGATCTTTTTATCGTGCTAAAATAAAGTTCTTATCTAAAATGCATGCTGTGTACAACTCTAAACATTGTACTCTGATACTCTGATACTGTACGGAGATAAAAGTAGATACTAAGCAGCTATGGAAAATGTAATTACTTTCACGCGATATTGATATCTTATAAAGAGGACAACAAATTCAGCAGGAATACGCGCGAACTGAATTAACTTTGTGTTGTATAAGGTTCTGTTAAACTTACACATTTTCCTGTGTGGACATATACTGTACCGAGCCGTACTTTGGTCCGGTACAAAGAAGCTATGAATATTTATACTGACAGAGTCATGGTCCCCTGATACCGATAAAAATCATCGGTGAATTTTGGGAGTGTAAAATTCATGAAAGAGTACTCCTCAAAGAGCAATATCAATATGTAGAAGGTTTTCAAAAGGTTTCACACCAGTTTGAGGCTAAGTTGTGCGGCCTGTCTCTCCTTGCAATTTTTACTTTTGAGTATTTACATTATGACATATAACACTCGTTTTGTATTCCAAACGAAAAAGTAGGATAACAGCACCGGTGCCTTTGACAACAAAACTTATCTCCAAGCAAGCGAGACTCAACGTTACTAACAGCGTTCTTGTTCCAGTAAAAGAACTCATTATTCCGTTGAAGAAACCTACTTTTTCAATTATTTTGCCCCAGAAAATGGCGTTATTTCCCTTTTTCTTACTCTACTATTTCTCACCCCAAAATCGAGCCAGCTACCGTAGGTCTTTAGAATCAGAATCAACAGTTCTTTTTTGTTTGTTTGTTTTTCGTAATCTGCTACAGGTTGGTGATCTAAACGAAGACAGTGTTAGTGAACTCA